GTGCTTGCACTCAAGAGACTTGCACGGCAGGAGTAAGTAAAGATGCAGGTCTCAGGTAAAGAAAGAACTCCCTTATTCAATTATGTTTAAGATTCAGAAACACTTTAAGGGCAGGAAAAAAAAAAGTCAGTAATATTTGATGACAAATGAAAACTCCCCGTCAGATTTTGACACCGGTATCCTCTGAACTGCTCCAGCTTTTATTCATCCACTCTGCAGAAGTGCTTACCTAATCCTTTGACACAATGCATGATAATGTCCAGCTCCTGCCCTGGTCGTAGCTGAGCTACCAGGATGTCATCATTCACTGGTCCAATGCTGGAGTCTGCAAACACATCTGCCTGGTTCCCAATAGGGACCCACTTTATGTCTTTGGAATACACTGACAAGAAAATATGGAACAGGGGAGGGAATGTTTTAATGGCATTTTTGTTACATATGCACAGGGACATTCTTTATTTTCTTTTGGTCTGTATGTTCACATTTGACCAGTAGTCCTTCATCTTAACTTACCCATGTGGTTCAGATACAGCTCCCGTGGGTCAGAAGACTCTTTGCTGGCTCTGGGGTTTCTGGTGCATTTAATTTTCAGCTGTAGCTGAATTGTGTCTATTTCTGAACCTTCCTCTTCAGCAGATTCTTCACCTAGAATTAACAAGGCATTAAAAAAAAAAGGGCTAAACTTGTTTTCTTTGCGGGGCAATGGTGGCCAAGCGAAAGCTATAGGCCTGGGTTAAAGTCTGACTTGTTGTTCCTTTCCAGCATGTCATTCCCCAATCTTTCTCCGCATCTCCCAAACTATCCATCCTATCATATCTAAATAAAGGCAAAAGCCTCAAAAATTGGTAAAAAAAAAAAATTGTTCATTGGTTAGTCCACCTTACAACACCCTTATAGTGCAAGGCCAGACTTGCAACAAAAAGGAATAAGTATATGTTATTGTTGTTGTTTTTTTTAAATCAGACATTATGACCAGTATTTGACTTCACAAGATTGATTCTGAATAGATACATAAAATGCATCAAAAGACAATCAGGAACTTAACAATGTTACTTAATTTAAGAGTCAGTCAGCTGAAAGTTAAGAGTATAAACTTGACTTTGAGGCCTTCCTTCTATTTAAAAAATGAGCTCCACCTACATATAATTAAAATGATTGAAGCTGATCAAAATATGAGGAGATATTTAACAAAATGTAACTAACTAAATACTAAAATGTCCTAACCAAGCGAGTGACACATTGTAGCACAGTACAGCGGAGCTGTGGTTCAGTGTTATTAGTGAGTTGTTTTACCAGCGTTCCTGTACTCAAACAGGCGAGGGTCAGCTTTGATGGGGATGAGGCCTAATCTGTGGGCGAGGACTTCATCCTGGACAATGGATGTGTTGTTATAGATAAATGCCTTTTCTATCGCCATGGTAGGTACCTATAATCAAAGACATGAAAGTGCAAGCAAGACAAATACATTTGAAAGGAAAATAATGCACATAGGACAGAATTCACAATGTATTCCCACTTTTCACTGAGTCACTAATGAACCATAATGTGCTGGGGGGATAACATGTACAGTATGGTATGAGACACTGATGAGGAATATGATAAAAGATGCTTCAATGAATGAATAACCCAACCTCTGCTAATAAGATCCTTCTGAAGGCATTGGCGATGGCTGCATCGATTCCCACCATATCAAACTCCATACTGCTCTCATCCATATGCACGATGTCAATTCTGAAGTTCTGCAAACAGAGAAAAGTGCCTCGCTTAATATTAATGAGATAAAACAACAACTGTGAGTTAGAGAACCAGGAAGAACAGTGTTCCTCACACAGATACAGTAAAGGAGTGTATTTGAGGCATAATGTGGGAAATACTTTCTCTTTCTCCCGGTTGTACAAATGTTGTTATAAACACATACATGAAATTAATAAACAGATTATTAATTCAATAAAGATGAATCAGATTTGTGCAAAAATAATAACAATAATTCTAAGACTGTTTCCAAAAACATAGTGTTTTTCAATCTCGAAATTTGTTTAATTTCCATTTAATTTGGTTAAAATTTGACAGAAACGTACCTTCTGAAACTTCTGCATATCCCAGATGTCATCATATCCAGGGTAGTTTCCAGGGAAATCAGATGTATGAACCTAAAATAAGAAAAAATAAAAAGGATCCATCAATAAATAATCACATTCTCATCTTTTTAACATTTATTTTATAACGTATAACTCGGGGGAATAATATCTACCACATGCATTAAAGAAACAGTTTAAAAACACACAGTTTAAGATGATTTTAAACTCTCACTGCTGTTATCTACAGAGCATCAGTCAGCATGTTTTTATCTTCCTTCTTTCTGTACAGTAACAGAGTCAAGGTGTATTCACTGATCACACAATGAAATCCTGAACAGCAGCAGCACTTATAGAAATGGTTCAGGTTTGTCCTGTTGAAGGGAGAATAAGTGATTCTGATGAACATGCTGCTCAGACAACATGAGTTACTGTACATCCCTATGACACACTTGAGTCAGTGTTGGTCTCACCAGCAGGTTATCTTGTGTTATTATTATGTTATCTTGTCTGAAGCCTCACAGACAAACACAACAACTACTACACTGTAAGAAATAACATATCAGGACTTCATCTGCCTATTTCATGTCCAATCTCTGATAATAACACTCAGGGACCAAAAAGAGGATTGAGCCCTCGTATATTAAAAAGATGCTCCAGAGTATGTCATTAATATTCATGTGGTTTTTAATTCAGCAGAGATGAAATGATACAAACATGCTGTTTAAAAAAAGAGTTGACAGCAGTCTTCAGCAGCTGAGCGTCACGTCTGAGGGGAGCTAGAAACACGTAAACACGTCGCTTCAGGATCGGATGTCATCAAATAAACTGCTAAAAAAACACACTTACATTTTTAATACCATATTCTCCTAGTATTACACGATTTCGGATTTCTTCCACGTTACTCATGGTCGCCGCCATTTTGATTTGTGGTGTTCGTTGCTCCGCCCACACTTCCGCTTCACTTCTTCTTCTTCGTCTTCTGCTGCTTCTTCTGCTTCTTCTTCTTTGGTTGGTGGTTGAGTTACCAGCGTTTCATAGCAACACCGCCTCCAGCGATGTCCAAAAGATGACCTGAAACAAAATCTCTTAAGGTACACAGTTTCTTTCAGGTATAGGCCCTACTTCATAACCAGCCTATATATTTGTAGTGGTGATCATCTATAGTCTAGAAATAACAAAAAATTAAAAACAAATTAAAAACTGAACACAAACTCATAAAAAAGCCACTGAAGCACCTAGAGGGCGAATCTTACGCAGGATATATGAATAAGTGTCCAGGGTGGTTTATTTTATCCAGAGACATCAAGCAGGCAACAAACAACAACAAACACTGCTGTCTGTCGTGCCCTGTCATCCTGCCATTGAGTCCTGGCTTCCTGGTAAAAAAAAAACATTAACCCATTAGGTGCCTACCTGAGTCTCACCTGGCTACCTGGCTATATAGACACACCCATGTACAGACCTTATGCCCCAAGTAGCAAAATAAACGAATGGAAATAACTCATAATATAAATGTAAACAATAATAATCAAAATGCCCCGAACATAATCTAATATTGTACTAATATGTATCCCCAAAATGGGGAATTCTCACCACATATCTGAAAACACTTGAACTAATCCATCACAAACTTCTTTTAGGTTAGCTCTTTGTTAAATGATGCTCTGAAAGCCCAAATCATAGAGGCCTGTTCAAGATATAGGCCTATGTCAGTCCAAGAATAAGCCTACTACCTTATGATATATAACACATATCATTTGCGTCAAGAGATTTAAAGTTAAAAACACAATAACTTGCCCACTGCTCTCAAGTCCAGAGTGTATTGTCTGTATAGAGCTTTTATATTAACTGGATAACATTTCTTCATACTGCATCATCACGGTGTGTTTACTGTTTTATACCGTTCATGCTGAAGCATCACAGTGTGTAACTGCTACCTGTCATCATGCGTGAATTGTTCATGCCAGTCTGGATATGATCTATCTACTTGACCTTTAATCATGAACATTTCATCTCATCTTATTGCTATTAATGTTTGTCAACCATGACATTTGCACTCATCTTAACATTTAGTGAGGCAAAATCACCAGAGTTTTTTTTTTTTATTGCTGGCAATGATTTGTGCACATTCATCTTTGACACACACTATTTGAATACCGTCACAGGTTTTTACAAACTTTCTATTTACATTCAATATCAGTTACTGTGAGCAACCTGATACATGAGCCCTCTAAACAAAACAATAACTGCTGTAGTCTTTACAAAATCAGCCAACACGTATACACAGAAATAACAGAGACAGAATTGAGAATACATTGGAATAAAAAATAATAATAATAATAATTTCATTCCAAATGGCTTCTCACTTTCATTCTTCAACCTGAGGACCCATATTGTACCACACCACAAAATTGTACAAAATCAAGCAAATCAAATGTGGGGCATCTGCTTAACATAATAACATTGTGTTGTCTGCTAAAGTGGTACATGTTGTTTTTTAAGCCAGTGAATTGCTTTAAGTATCATGGCTCTGGCATTGTCAACAGCTCCCCTCGCTTCCTTTCGTCTGTCCCTTTGTGTGTGTGTGTGTGTGTGTGTGTGTGTGTGTGTGTGTGTGTGTGTGTGTGTGTGTGTGTGTGTGTGTGTGTTTTCCCAGTAACACTCTGTGGCTCCCTCCTGATTGCTGTTCACCTGCTCAGACCGGCACACCTGCTTACCATCTACTCATCAACTCGGCAGTATAATTACCCTGGCTCTCCATCACCACATTGTTGTGTCAGCTAACGCAGAAGACCACGGCTCAGGTGGGTCGTAAAGATTTTGAAACCCTTCCTAGACATATCCATACAGGACACTGACATGAAATATCTATCTTTTCACCCAACTCAAGGGAAGATGGTAAACAGTATCTCAAATGCCAGTGCTAGGCTGTGGTATGTAGTGTAGTGCGTTACATCTCTGATGTCTCCCTCAAACCTGGTTTTCTCACAGCACAAACCACCAGTTATACACTCTCTGCCTGTTGATGTACGGCATATGTCAAAGGAACAGAAATGAGGCGGCTAAGGTGGAGCAGTGGGGTCCCAAAAGTCAGCAATGATATATGACTGAGAACTGACATTTTCTAAAACCCGAGTGGCAAAAAAAAAAAAAAAAAATCCCCTTTTCCAACCTCAGTGTTACAATAGAAACAGTTTATCCCCTTAAGAGCACGAGTGTGTCCACTGCAATGTATCAATCAAGCATAACATTTTCTTTGCTAAGTTTTAAATTATGGCCTGAGTTATAAGGTAAGCAAGGCACAAAAACAATGGAAATGATTCTGTTAACTATAGATATTGATGGCGAAGGTTATCATTATGTGTGCATACAGACTGTCTATCTAATAGTTTGCGAGTGAAAGAACACAGATCATCTTGTGACATTTCAATACTCGCATTATAGACACAGTAAAAAGCAATCTGATACAACACAATAAACTGTAATTACTTTTTTTAAGCCTCTATTGACAGGTGGTGAAGCGCAATGGGTTGGAGAACACCTGCTTTGAGGACTATAGCCTCTGTACATGGGGGAGGGGGCTCAACATAACCGCTGACCAGCACCCTTAATATATAGCCTTAATAAAATAATTTCTTTAAATATCACTCTGCAAACCTCACTGAAAAAATCTATGTTATACAAGTTATCCTCTATCACTCCTGTAGGGAAATGGGTTCTATAAATGTTTCAGCAGTATTTGGAGCAGGGGTCAGCCTCTGCCCAGTGCATGAGAAGTAGGTCAAGAAGACCCTTACAGAAGGAGAAAAGTATTTTTGATGACCCTGGAAGAAACCTTTGTAAACACTGCACTGAACAAAAAGAGTACAGACCAAACAAAATGCAGTTGTTTAAAATTATTCAATTGTCCTCCACTCTATCAACTATCTCAATATTATTATTGTGGGATGGAGTTTAAATAAATGTATAACATTTAATAATGAAATATGTAAACCACTGAGACAGTAACTGTTGGTTTTATATTATCCGGCTCGGATTCTGTTGACCCAAAATGATGTAAATGTTGATTAGAAATTATAAGAAATTCTTCCTGTTGTAGTTTACCCCTACTGTAGTTCAAACTTCAAGTACTAATGATATATATGAATTATAACATTATGGAATATGATAAAAAGAAGCCCTAGTACTCAAGTGGTCTGTTAAAATGTTCTGCCATGACATTCATTTTTAATCTTTAAATGTATGATAAGTGTGTTATAGTATAAAAGAATAAAAAAACAGTAAGATTTGTTTGGTAATCATTTATATGAACTAAAATGCAACGAGGAAGCTGCATGAGCAAAATAGGATGCAGTTGTGTTAAAAACACAAAAGTATAAATAAAAAAACATAGTAAGTAGGTCAGAGGGGGAAAAAGAGAAAATAAATCCGTCAAAAAGAAACAATCCTTTGAAGGTGAAGAAATTTATGAAAAATGCATTTAAATAATAAATCACGTTTTATTTTTTTCTGTAAATTTTTTTGTGTTTTTTGTTTATTTACCTCCAAGAATTCGGCAACACAGACTATTTGCAACCAATGAAACTCCTTCTGTCAAAAAAGTTGATCCTATAAATGTTGCCCACATCATTTTCTTATATTTCTTTACTGATTTTGAAAAGTTTAATGACATAATTTGAATAAGGTTAGAGTTCTTTTTATGCATTTTTCAAACATTACATTTACAGGTCAGAGAGAAACATGACAGCAAATGACAGTAAATGTCATTTGTCTGGTAAAGACTACAGCCTATAATCAACTTCACCTCAGAGCTAGCAGTTTTACCAAGCTTGAAGAAATTTAGATATTCACCAACACAGCCAACATTATCCAAAACCTAACCCCACCAATTATACAAGGTTAGATAAGTAAGGACAATTAAGATATTCAAGAATGAATGCAGCAAGAAATATTTTGGGGTACAGAATGAGGCTAGCAGTGAGCCAGTGACACTTGGTTCTTTTGTCATGGCATTGCACAGAGATCTGTACATGGACAATTCTAAATCATCAATAAGGGGGACCTGGACAATGCACATGCAGTTCTGAACATTCATTTGATAATAACATAACTAAGATTTAAGAACCAGATTAAGTATCTTTATGTTCTAACATTGTAAGTATTTGTTTGAAATAGCACAAATCCAGGATTGTGAAATGTCAAACAAACAAAAATACAGTATATGGTAAATTAAATAATATGTATCATCAATATGTGGGGAGCACATTATTTATTCAATTAAAGATCATCTTGTTCTCATAGTCTGAATACTCAGAACATATCATTTGTGGATTATTTTATGTCAGAGGTCAGAAGGTATGGCCTTTCAAAGAACGTGATCTTTGTGTCCTGTAGTTTATGTCTTTATTTTTGATACCGTTGCCTTTTTCAGTTCTTTTGTATGAATATGGACATATGCTGTGTGTGTGTGTGTGTGTGTGTGTGTGTGTGTTTTTGTTTGAGAGAGGAATTGAATTGCCTCTATGGATAGTTTTGGGGGATGTAGCCAGAGATCCCTACTCACCCTGAGGTAAGGGGCAGAGCCACAGACTGTTGCATCAGTTGCAGCCATAGACTGTTTATAGGTTCTTGAGGGAGAAAAGAGAATTCTATAACATTAAGTTTGAATTCCCTTCTACACCTCCCCTGCTTGCATGCATTGTTTCTGGCTACATTGTACACAGCTGTTGTTTTACTGGTCAACTTGAAATGCCAGTGGTAATCAAGGGCAAAGTTGAAATTTACTCAGAGTGCACGTAACAACAGAACAGTGAGCACAAAGGATCCACAACACTGATCATGTATAGAAGCCTAGGGGTTAGGCACCCTGGTTCTCAGCAGTTTCTCTCTGCGAGACATCCACTGACATTTGCCTGTGCATGTCACTCACAAGCCCAAACGGCAGGAGGATTCACATTCAGCCAGGAGGCGGGATAGAAAGAACTTTCTTCTCCTTCCTCTCCCATGTATAGGGAGGAGACGCATAAGGAATAGGAGTGTTAAAAAAGAAAGGTAAGGGTTAACTAAAGGTCATGTTAAGGTCAGGTCATGGTTTCTCTTTATTGAATGTCAATGCATTCCCCTCCGCAGACACTCACTGGAAGCTTTACAACATTAGTCTTGCCGTGTATTGTATCAGATTGCTTTATACAGACGCTGTTTGACTTGTCTATGTCATGTACGTGGTTCATGGTGAGAACACAACTGCATGAAGAGGCTTTTTAAAAACACTGGCAGTGCACAGCTGCAGAAGTCACATTTCCAATGATTAAAATATTGAACAACTGACACCAAATGATGCATTATAATGGGTTGTTAATTCATCATTAAGTCCCTTTCGAGCACCTTTTCATTTGTGTCTCTCTGTAATTATGATTCTATTGATTCTGGGGTGCAGGCCTTCCTTGGTGATGCATTACTCAATCTTTTGTAGACCTTCTGATTGGATGAGTGACATTTGAGGCTGAGGCTTTGGGCAGCCGTATTGGCTGCTAAACACAGTGTTTTTAGATGTCGTCCCTTCTATCAGTCAGCTGATCAGCTAGTCCACAGCTGTCGTGGTCCGGGCACAACAGGCCGGGGTTCGGAAAGAACCCATCATTCTGCTCCTCTTCCTCTGACAGCCGTTGTTTCCGCTCTGCCGAGACGTGTTGGTGTCCTGGCGTGACAGCTTGGCGGCATGCTTAGCCGTTTCCTTGATCTGCAGCTCGAGGTGTTTCTGGATCGCAAGGCCCAGCTCCTCAGGGTCAACAGATGCCCCGTACACCTCCCATGTCATCCCTTCTGCATCCCACATCACCTCCTTCACGGGAGACTTTGGAGCACCACCTGGTTTCTTGTCCCCATTGCTGTCAGCTTTCAGCGTCGGACTGCGAGAGAGCCCACTCCTGCTCTCTTCTGCCAGACAGATTTCTGGAAATACATGAGGTGTGACGATTTGTCCTGTTTGAACCCCAACATCCCTCAACACTTTGTTTGCTGTCATAGTCCCCATCTCTCGGGTTGAGGTTCTGAAAAGGCCAGCCGAACTGCTGCAGCACTCCTCTAAACCAAAGTGTTTTGGGGATTGTGGCCTTGCACCGGGAGGTAGATTGCTCACCCAAGAGCAGTTGAGGTTGCAGCATCGCAGCAGGTGTTTGCTATCCAGGCCCGTCTCACTGACAGAGGAGATGAGGCGAGGCAGGGCGAGGTGGTTTATGGCTGAAGGAGGTTCAGCTGCACGCTTGCCGTCACAGCTCTGCTCTGCTCCTGCTAGGCGTGGCAGCAGCTGGGAGGGGGCTGGGATCGGCTGGGGGTGGCAGTACGCAGCAAAAGTGTCCTCGAAATGTGCATGATTGACATAAGAGCCACAGCATAGTGCCTTGTCACATTTAATTTGAGGCCGGCAATTTTCTTGAACAACCCCCACTGTGACTGTCTGAGGAAAGGATCTACAGACACACCTGCTCTGAGGCTGCGTTGCACTTCCTTCTCCACTGGTGGAAACAGTAGTGCTAATCTTACACTGCTGCAGTTCCATGGGTTGCTTGCATGATAAAATGGAATGGATGTCAGCTTCTTGAAAAAAGTGATCTCCTCCATGGCAGGCAAGTCCACAAATCTCATTGTCTCCTGGGGTGGGTGCTCCCTGTCTAACCCCTGGTAAAGTGTCTGAATGACTCCTGTGCACAGGCAGAGAGGCTGCGTTTATGCCCTGCAACATCCCTCCCGTCTGAGGGTTCTCAGTGATTGCGTTCACGATTACCTTGTGTTGATGTGAGGTTGTTTGCATTTTACCAAGATTATGATGGTGGCTTAAAGCCCCGGAGGTCACACAGTGTTCAGGTGGGTTTTGATCCTTCTCACCTGGCTCTCTGCTGACTTTCACACTGCTTTGTTTGGTTTCTCTTGTAGGAGGAGTTGCTGAATTTTCTTTACAGACGTTGCCAATGGTCTCCTTTCGCTCCTCCTGGCAGGTGTAACCTGGTCCTCCAGCCAGTCTGGAGGGTGTTGTTGTCTCTGAAGGGGGGTCAAAGAGTGACTGAGTAGAGACCGGGCATTCTGAGGAAACATCTCCCCCCAGCGGCTGCAGCTCCAACGCAGGACGCCCTGGCTCTGCCATGGAAGACCTAGGTGTGGAAGTAAAACACATATGTACATGTATTATACTTATCAGCTAAGATAGAACAAACAAAACACGTCAATCTTTCCTTTTTTTAAGTTTTCTATCTTACATTTGTCAGGAGCCTTACAAAAAGAACAGCAATTGTAACAACAAGCCTGTTGACAAACTCAATGATTTAAGATTAACATCATTCATCTTTGGGTAGCGTACATGTCTGCGACAGAAAATCTGTAACCCTATTGAGTCACACACCACCACACTTCCCTGGACGAGTAAAACAAAAATAAACAGAGTATCCTTCTCACTCAAACAACTCCAAGTCAGTCCTTCCAAATAAAAATATATTACATCAATCAGTCATAGCTGCATTGGTTCATTTTCTTCAACTATCAGGCTGCATATGCTGGGCTTCAATCGAATGTAAAGGAACGGTGTAACAAAGTCTTTATTTATTTCAGTCATCGTGCTAAGTTTGGCATGCCTGACTCCAGCTCTGTACTTAACATGCATGGAATAAGATTGATTTTGATAAGAAGGCAAATAAGAGTTATAGAATGTTGAACTTGTTTTTTGTTTCTATCACTGATATCACTTTTATTACGTTTAATTATAGGCCTGGTTACTGTTTGTTCATGTATTTGATAGAAGTGTAAATATATCACATTATTTCACACATCCAGTAAGCATGGTATATGTTAACGTACTGTTTGCTAAAGGAAAAAAAAATCTGCTTCTCTAAATTACCCCGTGGAGATGTTTGAACCAGAACCAAAGGATTTCACATCAAAAGATCATTTCAAAAATGCGGTTCCCACCCGTGAACATAAAACAGACACATGTACAGCACAAATGAAGAATTAATGAAATCCACACACCAAATCAATGCATTCCCCCGGAAGAAACCCCAGTTTTAACATTTTCATCAACCAGCTTACCTTTTTACGTGGAAATTCTTGATGCCGAGGGTTTATCCCCCCCCCCAACCCCTATTTTCCCTTCCCTGTCGGATGCAGGGTGTAGTTTCTTAGAAAGCCTTCATCCTCCAGCTCCTCCTCACATCCACAGGTGACCTCCCTCTATCTTTAACTCCTCTCCAGTCACTGAGCTACTTGTGATCCCTCTCTGCTCTCCTCCACAGCCCCCTCTTCTATCCCTCCTTTTTTTTTTTTTTTTTTTTTTTTTTTCAGCAACTCTCGGCAGTGCACAAGATGGAGGAGACCTTGAGATAATCCTCTTCTACATCTGATTACAAATGTGAGGATGCAATCTTCAAATCCCGGCTCTGTAAGAGAGAGAGTCGAGCCGGTTAGTGGTTGGCTTATCCAGCTGTAGTGTGAGACGGATGGAGGGGGTTGGGGAATGATAATGAGACGAGATAGTCAGGCAGTCAGCGTCACAGACCCTCCACCTGTGGAGAGGGGAGGAGGGTAGATGCATCAATGAATGTGTGAGAGAAAAGAGAGAAAAGAAAGAAAAGAAAGACGTCTCTTTGTCTCCATTCTCTTCATCATGTGTTATCCTCACTCCCCGTTCACGTTCAGTTCCACTCTCAACTCAGTGAATGCTTCTGTTTCTCCCTCTGTCAGTGTCTTCAACCTCCCTGCAACCCTCCCACCAACATCTACCCACTCTCCATCACTATCCCTGTTGCTATGGAAACTGTAATACTCAATGGGCCTGTTTTTTCAAGCTGGCAATAACACAACAGACAGCCAAAACAAATCAGCTGGGAACCGATCGTGTTCTTTTTTGGTTGAGAAAGTCACTGGCAAATAAAAACAACCTATAACCTGTCAGGAAAAAAATGAAGACACAAACGAACATGATGACAAGTCAACAGATGGTTTGTAAATGCGTGGACTATCATTAACGCTATTGGTTTCCTTGATGTCAGCAACAGGTTTGTGACACTGTCATAAAACCTGTAGCGTGTGTTAACCCCCTGCTGTCATATCAGAGCAAGTCATCTCAACTTGGTCAAATGGCTGTGATACCTGTTAAATACTGAAAGTATGTCATGACTTTCTGGTTTTGTTTTTGTCCTGTTGTTTATTTGAGTGTTTTGATTTAACTTCCTGTTTTATTTTGACATCCATGTGTTCTCATGTTTTTTGGCGTGTTCTCTTTGCTTTAATCCCTCTGTGCGTCTTACTACTCATATTCCTAGGTTAAGCTTTGAGTGTTTCCTGTTTTATTTTGTCATTTGTATCCTCGTGTTTCTCTTTTCCCTGTGTGTGTGTGTGTGTGTGTGTGTGTGTGTGTGTGTGTGTGTGTGTGTGTGTGTGTGTGTGTGTGTGTGTGTGTGTGTGTGTGTGTGTGTGTGTGTTGTGTGTGTGTGTGTGTGTGTGTGTGTGTGTGTGTGTGTGTATTCCTTAGTCTTGTCTGTAGTGTTTCCTGTTTTACTTAATAGTTCTTGTCCCCAGTGTTTCATGTCTAGTCTCACCTCCCCCCCTTTTTTTTTTCTTCCCTCCAGATTTGGTTTCCCTAATTGTCCTCACCTGTGTCTTGTTATTCTCACCTGTGTTTGATTACCTGGTCTAGTTCTTCAGTACGTCTACCTGCCCGTGCATTTCTTCCTCCTGGATCCTCCTTTTGAACTTTTCTTTTGGACTTTGATGAACTTTGTTTTTTTTCTCCTGGGAAAAGTAAACCTATAGCACATAGCAGCCTCTGCCATCACTGTGTGACTGTGGTGTGAATCTGTGAAAGTGACCTGTAGTGAAAGAGAAGCTTTCAGTGGTCTAAGACTAAAGCTCTGTGCAAGTCCAAGTACATTACCTGTTAACTAACCAGCTGGTATTTAAAAAAGACTGTCCCTCTCCAGCCCAACTGATTAGTTTGAATATAGTTAACATGTAACATACATGTTTACAGTAGGTATATATGCTCAGTTCACAAAGTAACAAAGGGCTTTCACAAATGAAGGTGATGAAACCATTGTTGGGGGATGCGAAGGAATCTTGTCAGTGGAGACTGGCCTTATTTATAAGACCGGTTGCAGATGGGATGATACTACTTTATTAAATAAGAAATCAATCCAGATGGGCCACTGTCATCTGTCAGATGAGATCAAAGTTTGTGTCCATGGTGAAAGGGCTCAGCCATAATACCTTTCTGCAGACCTCAGGGTCCTGTTTGAGCAAAAGTCCTGGAGGATTTAAAAATGGCGGTTGGTGGTACTGGATTGGCTCATCTGTACGACAAATCAACGTGCACTAAAGTCACTCAAAGTCCCTCCTGTGCTGGTAGAGTACCTACTCTGAAGCAGGATCTAAAGAGGTTCCTCTGAACAGGGTTCTAGAAACTAAAGTAACTGATAGTTCCTGCGGTGCAGAATCAATAAAAAAAAAGAGGGAGGGTTCCAACAGATGCAATGACAAATTTCCTGCAGCCCTCGGGGCTTATATACACAGCTGTATTTGTTAAAGGCACAGATGCTGGATCAAGCCCCACAACTGCAACAGGAAGTCCTGACTCTCAGGCAGGCATCATTGGAACCATTAAACTTATGTTACATGCTTTGAAGAGCAAAAAAACTCACCAGAGAGCAACAAAAAAAACCCAAATAAAATAAGGAGCTGTGGACTGCAATAAGCCCGGCATGTGAAAAAGGTGGAGTGTACAAAAAAGTAAAAGGAAAACTGGAAAACATTCTCCCTTTGCTTATGTAATTTAGGTTATCTGAGTATAAAAGCAGGCCTTCAAACATTGTGTTGCAGTACTCCTTGACAAAAAGTCATCAGCTATTTACTCCATGATGATTACTTCATCTGCAGATTACCGGAAAGAAGATTCAAAGGGAAAGCTTATATGCGGGTATGCCCAGGGTCATCCCAGGTTACATGTGACTTTGTTGATATTAGAAACTTGACCTATGCATGTTCGGGGGGGTTCAGGCTTCTGGCAGTCAGGAAAGAGGAAATAGAACAATTCATCTTGTGATTCCTTATAGATAAACAAATACAGCTGTATCAAGAAGAAGATACGTGTTAATGCCTGTGAAGGATATTGTGATTGTTTAGATTCAAGCTGGCATAATTCCCAGCTATACAAACAAAGCTTCTCTTCAAAGAAATGTGTGTCTTTTCTTTTCTGAGAATTGAAACCTAGAACGATATAGTGGGTCAATCATCCTTAGTTATGAAGATGAAACACACCAGATCTTATTGAAATATCAAATCAATTGTCACTACACTGCTGGTAAACACCTAAAATCAAACAGTAGTTTCTGTGCTATTTAAATGTCAACTATTTCTGGTACACTAGAACAATAATGAAATGCTGAGAGCAAGCCACAGCATTGTACAACAAGGAAAGGGCTTTGACAGCACCCAGTAAGTTGTCTATACTCTAATCCTGTCCTGGGTGGGAAAGTGTAGCATGTTAACTCATATATGTGCAGTGTGGCTCTAACAAAGCCTCAGGTTTTGTCTGTTTCTCATGTCTTGCTGCTGCCGTTCTCTACTGAAAAAGTCAAAGTTTTATTAGGGCTCAGAGAACAGACACGAAGGTGTGGACCCAAACACATACAATCAAAGGCTAACAGGTTTGTGGATGCATCCACTTCATCCTGCTGCTATTCTAGCGTGTTAATGCTATACTGATGTCCAGATAAGTAACTGTAAGCATCCACAGGTAGCCCTTTTAGGCTGATGTGTTTATATTCAAATGTATTACATAATTCATCTATATTCATGAGGAGAGTGTGTGTTTGTGTGAACATCCCAGATTTTTCAAGTAAAGAAGAAATGGGCTATCGGACTATGTGAAATCATGTTCAAATGTGGATTTTAAAGACTTTCCTGTGAGAATTATACTGCAAATAGTTGAAAGATTTTTTTGTATTTCGATGGTTAGAACTCTGTCGCTGTGAATTATCTTTCAAACATCATTGTCCACGACCCCAATGACACCACTGGAGAATTAAAGTTTTGTGGGTCTGCAACTACATGTGTGTATGTGTACGGATATAAAGAATTCATCTTATTGTATCTGCGAGTTTGTGTGTGTGTGTGTGTGTGTGTGCAACAGTGACAGCTGTGCACAGATTAAGGCTTAGACCTTCGGGGAGCAGCTCTGTGTGTGTTTTTCTTTTGTGTCTGAAATTCCTGTGTATTCAAAGTATGACAGATTAGTGCTGTGTGTGTACTCTGATGTGTGGAGTTTTTTGATGCACCCCACTTCAGGATTTATTGCACAGAGGGCTGGAAAAATAAATCAAAACACTCACACATGAACTCACTTATAAGAGCATTACAATCTCAAAAAAACCAACACATTTACATTGAGCAGGACTGTCCACAACAGGGAACTGTTTAGTCTCGGTCAACCAAGCCCGCCCCCTCAGGCTTATTTTGTTAAGGCAGGTTTCATTCGCTAGCCCAAAGGGATTTCCAGCCTACCTGGCTTTGGTCAGGCAAATCAATGTTCTAATAAAGGGTGGCTTTACATTCAAGATTGTTTTTTGTTGAGTCATTCATGTACACAACCAAGATGGCTGCCAGGTATGGGGAAGGTCCTGCATCAGTTATCAAACAGTATGAGATATAATCATGCCATATGTCTGTGTATTGTGTTGAACTAAAAGCCATGTGTATTTGTTGATGGAAATAACTTCTTATACAAACCAACCACTGCTGTGCGTTACTTTATTTAGTATCAAAATCATCATTCCCTTCACTGGCTCCCTGCTCGTTTTAGAACTGATTTTAAGATTTCACTGATTACCTTTGAATCTTTTTTTTTTACGCCAAAATTACAGCGCAGAAATGATAAGCCATCTGAAAACATTATATCTCCAGGCGGGCCCATCAGCCGTTCAGAAGTCCAGACTCAAATCTAGAGGTGACCTTGCTTTAACCATCAGGGCCCTTTAACTTTGGAACGACCTGCCTAAAACTCATTTACAGATTCACTTTAATGTAATGTCACCTTTTCAAATGCAATTTGAATTGATCTATCTCTTGATTCATTTTACTGCTCTTATCCTCTCCTAGCCCTTTTACTGATGCTTACTCTTTCATTCTTGTATTTCTTTCATTGAATTCACCAACTACTCTATCTGCCTTTTGAGATGAACCTGCTGTATCACTTTGATTTCTATTATTTGCATTTATTCTTGTTTACCTTTGCTGTTTCCAGTTTATTTTTGTGAATTTTGAAGATTTCCGTTTGGCCTGATTGCTGCTAATTATTTTGTTATCCTCCAGAGTTCCTTCCTTTTCTTTATCTGTCAAACCACTTTGTAAACAGCTGAACGTGCTATATAAATAAAGTTCTTATTTCAATAAATGTTTGGCCTGCAGCAAAGCAAAGACTAAAAAGCCATGTGCATTTATTGTTTTTATCCCTACATCCTCTTTCTCCTCGCTCTCCTCCGGGACACTGGGCCTCTTCTCTCAGGACTGCATGTCAATAGGATCGTCACAGCACAGATATATGGCGAGGACAGAAAAAAAAAAAAAGATTCAGCAGCCTTTATTTCCAACCTCTCTATGCTTTTATTAGAGATGATACAGTGTTGGCCTTTTGGACATTTATACAAAACAAACAGAAAACAAGACAGCAGCTTCTGATCGACTCCTCACTGGCTCCTCTGTTGTCCAAAGACTATATGAGAAACAGTCCTCCAGAGAAGACAGGAGTGTGAGAGAGTGTGTGTGGGGGGATGTAGTGAGTTAAGCATTTTGTGTAGGATTTTCTGAAACAAACCGACACGTGATTATCTTTTCTGGTTCTCTCTCTCAGTCAAACACACACAGGGTTTTTAATAGGTCTGCCCCTCATGACCACATCAGGTCATTGTGACTGAAAACAGATGCTCACTAATTCATCACTATTCAAATGGTAAAAATAATTTGATTAATAAAGCTTTTATATACCCAACAATACTTTGAGAATGGGCTGAGTATTTTAGGCTTATTCAACATGTTGAAGTAAATTCAGTCTTATCAGTGGAAATACTTAAAGGCTTTCAGAAGACCTCTAGTCAGGTCTGAGAAATGATGTCACGATACACGTAATCTTGGTTTTCAGAATGTGAACAGAAAGCAGGATTCACTAGTTTGAAACCAAAGATTTGGTGTATTAAAAGGCTGGGATGGTATCATGATGTCTAAATTCTGACCAATTTTTAAGAACTACTTTTTAGGACTTCGCTATTCTCATAACAGTGCAATCCTTATTCATTAAACATAATCCATTACAAATTGTCTTTGTAGGCAAAATAGTTTGTCAATTTGAAGCAGAACATTTTTATTTAATAAAAATGATTCTCACCACTAAAAACATTCTTTGCACTCTTTCCACTGTCAGCCACACGAGTTGGGTTACAGTGTTCCTGACTTCAAATTTGGGTCCGATTTCTTTTGTCTCCTGAAATGTGTCTGCATATTACACTGCTCATAGACAAAAAAAACTAGTCCTTTGATCAACAGTTTGATGTGTGGTTTACTCCATCTGTTGAAACATAGATCGTATAATAAAAAAAAAAAACAATGCTATGTAAGTTAAAAGCAACTACAAGCAGTGAAACATATTCAGTTAAGTACAGTGAAACACAGTCTGTCAACATTCAAAAACTGTCTCAACCTTAGTCAATGAACGAAGTCAACTTGAGCTACTCGCTGACAGGATGCCAGTTTTCACGGCTTATCCTGCATTTGGGCTTTAGTTAATACCAAATGTAGCTGCATGATATTTACATTGACCTGTCATTATATAAGCTGGATCCACTTTAAAATGACTGAATCTGTTGTAAACAGACTGGAAATCTGTGAGGACAAAAGAGTAATTGGTGCCCAGTCTGTCGGCTGGACCTTCAGCTGCAGGCGTGTGTAACTGAAAATTCTGGACCAGGAAGTGTGCTGTCTGTCTGATGTGTGCTGTCTGTCTGATGTGTGCTGTCTGTCTGTATTGTCAACTGGCCGTTTTGTTTCTCACCTGCCCCTCAAACCATATACATATATATATTTACACAACTGCTTTTTCTGAATGCTCTCCTTCGCAGTCAGTCAGACGTTTTCTGTGTGTGTGTGTGTGTGTGTGTGTGTGTGTGTGTGTGTGTGAGTGTGTGTGTGCGTATGTTAGTCATGTATCTGATAATACACTTAACACCCACACCGTCTTATCCTGCAAGATTCTCTCCTTACGTTATGACTTTAAACCTGCTGCTTATCCAGTCCTCGGATTTACAGCAAACTCATGTTTACAGTGTCAGCCCCCCATGTCCAACACACAATGTCTGTGGCTGAGGGTGGCCCAGTGTTCACGGGAGTTCATGTGCTCCATTAGTTACCAACACTTCAAAGATCTCACAACGTGACAGGAGCAGAAGTTCCACCTGCTAAAAACCTTTAGCTTCTTTAGTGTTTGCTGTAGTTTCTCAGAGATCAGGTAGTCCAGTAGAAACCAGAGCCAAGTGTTGGCCGACCCACAGACTACAGTCCAAGCTTTCTCTGTGGTGTGTCGGTCGACTGCGTGTGTGCGTGTGAGCAGGTGGCCTCAGCTCCAGCTCGTGCTTTGGAGTTCTTGGCGGAGCCAGGACGGCAGCGGTTGGCCCAACCGATTCAGCAGACGCAGAAGCTCCATGTTGCTCTCCCGGTAATACTCTGCCAGAAAGGCACGTGACTGTATGCAGGCACACACACACACACACACACAGAAAGAACATACACACAGTTATTGGTGAGTTGTTATAACATGCAATAATACTTGACTGTTTCTAAGCATCATCTGGCCGTTCACCACTCTGCATTTTACTTCATGGCTGACGTGCTTTTTAAAAGGAAAATTCTCCTTCAGCATTTTCTTTATCGCAGCGAAGTCAGCACCTGCCTGTGGCTCAAATGTCAACATCCTTTGAAGTAAAGTCACTTTGATGCAAGTCCCAGTCTGTTTATCGTAATGTGGAGAACCCAAATAGATCAGAGAGGAGCTGCCCATCACATGATTTTGAGAGAAAAGCATAAACTTACTGTGTGTAATTTGGGTGATCATACTTGGTCTTAAACAAACATCAATTCAATCACTAGTAAAATACAAATCCCAAAGTCTTGCTGGAGCTGGGGTTGGGCTTGTTCCTGTCATATTGATTGTTTGCTGTGAGGCGATTATGAAACTCAAGTCCAATTCTGATGGACTAGAAACCAAATGAATTAGATTTGGTAAGTATAGCTATGCAGCCAACTCATTTTGTTTGACCTGATGGTTGAAGTGTCCATAGTCCTTTTGTTCAGCATCACTTCATTAAAACCCAAGAGGTTACCATGACGATTGTCCTACTGCTGTCATTATCCAAAAGCTGAAGTATCAGTTTTAGTTCAGGCGTGTATACCTTGAAGTTTATCAGGTTAAATTGGCTCAAAAACAAATTGAAGGTGTCCATTAGAGTTGGGATCCATCATTCTGAATCGTTAGGTTTTTGGTAGTGTGTATGGTGTGATATAATGTGAGGTGTGGATTTACCTCAGAACTCATCTCAGCGTATTTCCTGCCTTTACTCTTCCCCAGACATTTGGCCCGACCTCCTTCAACCCGCTGACACCAGAAACCTTTGCTGTCATCGTACCTGTAGAAACACAGCGTGTTCATTCACAGAACAAAACAATCAAACTCATTTTATTTGTGCTATTTGGACACATAGATTGGCTAGTCCTTCAGCTAGAGCTTAGATTGAAAAATAAATAAATAAAAATAAAAATAAGACAGCAAAAATATCCAGAGTTAGTGATAGGACAGCACGAGTCATTTCATGATTGGACAGTTTTGTTTCAGTCCTTCACCATCAACAGATAAATAAATACATTTCAAAATAATGTATTGATTATTATCAGGATTTGTGAAGAATTTCAATAAATGTTACATAAAGGTGCATCCAAAACATTTTTTGCTGCCCTACCATACGTCAAACTAGCCCTGTGACAAAACATGAATTTTAGTGTGTAAGTGTGGTTAGATGTGTGGTGTGAGGGTGTTACTAACATGAGAGCCTGGGTGTAGTTGAAGATGGGAGTGACACCGAGAAATCTCTGGATTCCCTCCATCACCAGAGCTGGGTTTGACCTCAGCAGGGCGCCGTCCACGATGTGCAACTACACAACACATTCACACACAGAATCAGTTCCTGTTTTTCATGGACACAGATAATCAGAATAAAAATGCTTCCTGCAAACACGTCAATCAGAAAAGACTGGTCCGATTCGGCACATGCAGAAATACATTTCATCGCCATCGAGAGGGAGAGAGGGGTGGTTTATGCCGATCCTTGTACATCCATGTACACACTTGATTTAGTGTAATCCAGCAAAAACAATAATGGAGGAATCTACACTTTGACGTCTGCTTAGTACGGCCCATTGACAGAAACAGGCAGCCACCTGACGAACCGAAAATCAAAGACTGATTTCTCTCAAGTTATTGCACATTTTTGATGCATGTGAAAGGGAAGGAACAACTTATCTTTGCTTCTACTTTGAGCAGTTTAGTCCAGCAGGACAGCTCTACATGTCAGAATGGATTTTATTCTGATGACATGCTTGACGCATGTAAACGTTTGTCATAATCAGACCATTTTATTCTAAGGCTAGAAGAAACTACTACTGCATCCATGCATGCAGCTAAGAAACAGGAGGATTTGCTTAAGAAGCCACTCCATCTGACCAATGAGATGACATCAGCTACAACATCAATATGCTTCATTCTTAGACCTGCTTTGTGTTTATTTAACTTGGATTATTCCTTAACTTGTTCAAGATGTATGACTATGCTGGATGGTATCTAGAGCATAGAAGCCAGCGGGCTCCTCAACAGGGTGAACTCATTTGTACCATACACCGTCACATCAGAGTGTTGTATGCATAACTGGACAGTAGGGGGCAAAATTGTCAAGTACATGAAACAGAGCAATGGCGTTATGATACACCCACATGTATCTAGTGCTTTTTATTGAGTTACCTTAAATAATTGTGTGCTTGCATATTTCAGCTCTGTAGAAATGTGATCATACACAAAAAGGCCTGAAGACAACTGATTCAAGAAGAAGTCACTGCTGTTGTTCCCTTTGGTTCATGTCTGATGTGATGATATACTACCGTGCAATTTTTTTGTAAGGCATTACTGCAAGAGAATAACACCATTCACATTATAATAAAACCGTGACATTACAAGAAGTGCGATGAAAAGGTCATCCCTCAAAGGTAAACAAACATATAGGTCACGTGTAGTGCCACAAATAAAGGCTAATCAAATCAATGCTCATAATGTTCAAACAGATGTTTCATTACGTTAAAGGAAACTCTTATAACATTTTAAAAAAAATTAAACTTCATGTGTGAAACCAACCCTACACTTTAAAAGTGATTTTATCAAGCAGGGAATTCATCTAAAAAGTCATCTTCTCTGAAGTGAAGCATTATTGATATTATGCCGTTTCCATAATGAAGAACTACATGAACAGAAAGTAACTGTTATGAATGACGGTAAAGTAAACTGGGCCAGTGGGCGTTTGCATCTGTGTGTGTGTGTGTGTGTGAGCAGCTGTGGTGTGTGTTACCTGGTTGGGCTGGTAGTGCTGCAGCCAGTGCTCCAGGTGAGTAGCATAGGCCCCTGGATTAAGGCAGCGTCTCTGAAGGACCAGCAGGTCCCGGGGTCCAGAGGGGCCTGCTGTCACCACTGCATGGAAGGTGTTGTTGAGGGCTGCGGGGTCCTGATGGGCTCTCTGGTGCTGTGGTCATGAAAACACACATGGAGCATGTCAAAATGAAAAGTAAAGATAGTTCAAGTGCTTCAAATGGAGCTACATTTCTTTCTAGGGCCCTCACTACAACAGTGATTGATTCATTTACATGCATAGGAGGAGAAATGGAGACTTTAGGAAACACAAAAACACTGTCGTCGTCTTTTATCAGGAGCAACATGTCCTCCTCTGATTTTCACACCCCTATCCTGTATCCCTTGTGTGGCTGGAAACAAATGACATCATCCTTGTGTTGCAACAGTTCACTAAACATTAACAATTTATTAAAGGCACTGCTGATCTTGTTGTCCAAGGTAGCTGCTGTTGTACCGTTCAACATTTTAGAATGCTACTGCCTCCACTTACGCAGACAGCTGTAACATTGTGCAAGTGGCATTGTCAGCTGCACATTCAGAACTGCTGTTTTGGGTTTATTGTTTATTTATTGTGACACTGTTAATAGCATCACACACATGCCCAGTGTGTGTAAATGGTCATTTGTAGTGCGTGTTGTATGGAGAGATATTAGTTCTTAAACAGTGCTAAATTTAGCTTGTTTAAAAATAACAGTATTATTAACACTACAGCCCAGTTTCCACCAAGCAGTCCAGTTTGGTTCAGTCCAGTTTGGTTCAGTAAACCCTGATCTTGCTTGCGTTTCCACAGCCAACTGACCCTTATTTGTTAAACGGAGTGTGAGCCAGATGGAGTTAGCCGCGTCGGCTATGTAATAGTTTGACATTATAGCAGCTCAGTACAGTGGAGCCCGCTAACAATTAAGTTAAACGAAGAAGAAGAAAGGGACACACTAAACAAAAAAAAAAGGGACCCTTTAAGGTCGGATCCGTACCCTTAGCACCCCAACAGAAGGGTACCAAAAAAGTAGGACGTGCGGATCCCTTATTTTGGTACCATTCCCAATTTTGACGGTGGAAACGCCAATAAATGAGTACCGAATCAAACTGAAGCGGACCGCTTGGTGGAAACAGGGCTTAAGTATTGTAGACAGAGCTTGACACAGGTCTGGATGTGTGCACTGTGATAGCAGCTGTGAAGATGATTTCTCACCTGGTACCAGGAGTAAGCCCTGTCCGATGGGTTGATGAGCACTGCCAGGATTTTGGCTCTGGGGAGCAGGGCAGCAGCTCTTTTTGGAGCTACCTCTGTATCAAAGTAATTGGCACTCTTTTCAAACATGAAGTCTGTGCTGACATTTGAAGGGAATGGGAAGAAGTCCATGTACCTAGGGAGAACAAACATACAACACTGTACTAGTTTGCCAATATTTAAAAATAGATTAAAGCCCACAAGACATTTTCATTATAGTATACTGCATATTGAATAAGATATTTTTCGGGCCTTTTGCCTTTATTAATTACACAGCTGAAGATAGACAGAAAATGTGGGAAAGACAGAGTGGGCGCTGATATGCATCAAAGGGAACAACACTGATGTATCAAGGACTTGCCTGTGTTCATGGGGAGCCCGCCAATCCAACTGAGCTAAACCAGCGCCCTTCTTACTGCTGTCCTATTGAATTGACTGTGATTTGTCACTTGAGCCAATTGAAGAGACTTTAATCTCTAGAATCTCCTCATCTGTTTCAAACTAGATGCCATTAATAAAGAAATATTTCATATTTTCAACAAGGAATAACACCCTCCAGCCAAGTATAGTAGAGACATTTCTTTAGTGAGCTGGTTAGGCACTTTGAGCAAACAGCAGTGTGACAGCTTCAAGATTGGATTAAGCTTCCGGATTCTTAACTGGTCAAACCAGGTCTTTAAGACTGTTGTTTGAAGCTTCAAACAACAGTGTTAACAGTTTTAGGGTCGCTGTTTTTTCAGTTAATCAATTATCCATTTAGTCTTTAGTGGGTATATTTGTCCTGGCAGCTGTTGTAGGTTCAGTGTCCCTGAAACAAACCGGCATGTGACTACCAGCAGATACCTCTCCACAGCTTAGCAGGGAAACACGGAGAGGGAATATAATACCAAAATATCTTTCAACTTGGCTGAAAGATTTTCATTTCTCCATTTCTACAGTAAAGGCTTGTTAGAAAGAGCACATCATGGTCAGCCCGGCCGGCACCCCATCAGAAAAGAAACATTAAAAAAAATGAGAAATATATATATATATATATATATTTTTTTTTTAAAACATGGCTATGATGTGTTTCTGTTGTGCTAAGCACTGACGACTCTGAGAGCAGTACACAGTGTGTGGTAGTCGTGTTATTACCAGTCAATCCCATTGTCATAATTTGCTCCACTGAAGAACTGGATCTCCTCAAAGGTGGTGGGGCTGGGGAATGAGCTGGTGATTGCTGGATGGAGACTCAGGAATGAATGAAGTGCTGTAGTGCCTGTGAGAAAAGACAAGACACCAGATCGTTATAATGTAAAGAGAAAGAGATGTGGAACATGATTTCCTTTTTCAAGTATCAAAAGACAAAAAGCACATTACCTGTTTTCTGTGGTCCAATAACAAGAAACTTGGGAAGTCTATCACAGGTCTTTTCTTTTGACCAGATATCCTTGTGTCTCTTGTCATGACAAGGGTTCTGGAAAATAGTGCAGCTTGTTTAAGTGTGTTTCACATCCTGAAGCAAATACATTCAACACTTTGGGCAGATTCCAGTGTTTCTGCAAAATCTATTTTCTCAAACCTGTTCAAAGGGAGCCATGGTGTAAGCCCACATTAAGACAAGGTAATTTAATGCATTGTAAATACATCCCCCTCCCCCCCAATTCTAAAGTTTGGAATAAAAAGAGAAGTCATTTTTAATTCTACCCTACTTTGCATCAAATATTTTGTTGGTATAATAGTAATTATTTTGGGTTACTGGCTCGAGGCTCTTCCTCACATGCCTCTGGGTGCAGGGAGAGCCGTTTTGTCTCCTACTCATATCTGTGAAGTAGTCTTACTTTTGGCCCGTTTCTGTGTGAAAGGCTGCGTAAACTTGTGCAACAACAGTGAAAAAAAGACAACTATCCTTTCATGTGAACAGCAAATGGGCAACAGGCACAGCTTAAATCCTGCAATCACACCAAGTTTATCATTGCAGTGAAGACTGTTTTGGGCTAGATTTAGTGACATCATCTCCCACCATGATTATAAAGTTTGCAACACTCCACGGATCATAAGCGTATCAAGCCACAAAGGTGATCCACAGGGGTCATGGATCAACTTGGATCACCACTACCAACTAAAAAATTAACCTTTATAGGGCTGAGCCCCAGCTTTACTTCCGTCTAGCTATAAATGATCTTTACGTTTTTGAATTGAATGAACTGACCTGCCAAAGTGGATCTCTCTCCTCAGGAAAGATCTGGAAGTATTTATCTGCAAGCTGGACAGGCGGCAATGTCTGCAGCCGGAGGTTGGTCCAACACTGGACGAATTTCACCAGAGACTCAAAGGTGTAGAGACCCAGCCGGTCGTTGCCATAGTTTGATAGATGAGTCATAAAGATACTGATCTGGATTGAGAAGATTCAAGTTAAAATCAAGGTCAACTAAACTTTTGATTTGCTGTTTGAGGAGCACGTCCGGTCTCATGTTGTGTTTAGATGTCACGTGCAAGTCGAAAAGCATTTTTTTCTCATTTACGTCAAAACTATAATGCCATGCCTACAATGGATTTTTAATATATATAGTTGACAGAGCATTTAATGCAATGTTAACAGGTAATGAATCTATATGTATCAGTATGTGCCATAGTTCAATGAAACCACTTTAAATGAAGACACAAATATTGTCCGATTATTCAGTTGTATCAGTTGTAGTGCATAAAGGATATGACTTATATATCACTGACAAGTGGATGCTTCAAATCATAACCATTAATACATATTACATGATCAGAACTAATCATTTTAGAAAGTCAAGTTCTGTCACTTTAGGGCAGTGGTCATTTTGTCTACAGATTCATAAGATAGAGCTCTAATGTTGAGCGAGAATTGTCATGTCATTAACTGAAACTTCAACTGGCAATGGAGATGTTAGATGCATGCTCGTGATGTACGATATAGCATCTCTTTTAAAAGTAGTAGATGATAAAAGCAACCTGATTTGTCTACGCTGCCTTTTGCCTTCCAGTCTGAACTTTGGGCATTTAGATCTAGGGTAGGCTGAGTCTCACAGCAGACCAGTTGAAGAATAAACTACTGTGACTGGACTTTGACTGACTGTCATCTCTACAGCTACAGTAAGTGTGTGAGTGGTGAACTGTTTTCTTACAGGGTTAAGTAGTACAGTGAGGAAGAGTTCTCCTCCCCTGATGCTCTTGTCCAGCTCCTTTGAACCTCCGGGATATTCGTTGTAAAAGATCGTATGGGTAAAGAGACCACAAGTCTGCCTGGGCAGCACCTACAACAACACATAAAGAGAACATCAGCTGTTTGTGGTATACTTTGACAGTGAGGTTGATCTTTGGTGCTTCTTTTTGTGGATATTTAAAATATTTGGTAACATTCTAAATTTTCTTAAAGATAAAAAAACTTAAGTAGAGGGTTTTGCCTTTTACAGACGGGATGTGATAATGTGTGTCTTTTTCTTTTTCTATGGACAGCAGGAGATTCTGCTATGCCTTGTTTGATGGATGGGGTATTTCACAGACTGTTCACTATTTGTATTTGAATAAAGACTCAACTTTAAAATGAGTTTTTCATGCAAAACACACCAAGCTCATGAAACATTGATCAAACTACAACTTATTGGATATCAATAAAGAATGTTTTGTTGCATCCCGTATGTTTCATCTCTAGTGCTCATTGTACTGTATATCTGTAAGTGTAAGAAACTTTGTGACTTAGCCCCATCTTTATCTTACTTCAAAAAGGACTAGTCGTAACCACACACCACCAAGCCAAAGAGATTAGTTGTTTGTTGCGTCCTCATGACTCCTCGCTAAAAGCTTTGGTCTAGGAAATAAAGCTTGTTGTCCACTAATCTGAAGATCTAATCACCAAACCCACCAGTACACATTTAATTGGGGAAGATACCCAACCCAAACCTGCTCTCTGAGATGTGTCCATGTGAATGTATATGTTGGATAATGATGAGCCTTGAATAGCATGGTTGTTGGGCCATTAATGTGAGTGTTTGAATTTTGACATGTAATGTCAACCCCTTTGCATCACTATAGATTAGAAAGGAACTATTTATGTTCAGTCCGATTACATTTGCAGCCAACGGCATGAATCAGTTAGAAGAAGACCAGGATACACCAGTAGTTTACTGGATCAGGGGCATCAAGAGCTGATTTACAGGATCACATTGCAGCTGAATGGGAATTTTTATTAAACGTGAAGCTAGAATTGTTGCTTGCCAATCATAATATCTCACTACATTATTCAAAACAATGGAACTGCAGTGTTTTGTATTTATCTTCTTAATGATTTTTGTAGCACTTGCGGGAGTCGCAAGGGGTTGAAGTTTGCTAAACTTTGGTTTTGGTTCCTGCTCAAGAAGCAAAAATATTCTGTAAATAACCGATCAAGGACTCTGGTCTGACCTGGATCCCATTGTGGATGAAGCCGCGGCGGTATCGAGCTGGCCTCAGATGTGGATATTCCTCAGTGCTGGTCACCTTGATGCCCCATACAGACTTCCAAGCCTCGTACAGCTGGCTGTGAACTGGGTAAACCCCAGAGTGGTGTGGTGCCACTGCATAGCCCATATCTGTTGGGATGCCATGCTCCTGGAAAGTATGGAGAGAGGACAGCAGGTGCAGCAGAAGGGCAAAAAGGAAAGTAGAAAGTTATGGTTAGGAGAGAGAAGTGCAAAGAGGCTAGGAAGGCTAGCTATGCTAATAAACATTTGAAGTATAGTCCAGTTTATAGTAAAGTCTACAAGTATACTGTATGTTGTAAAAAACAAAAAAACTCAAATGTTTCTAGTAAAAAAGAAAAACTCCTTCAGTGAAACATGTAGCCACATATCTATACACACCTTTGACCCTCTCCATGTCTGAGGTGTATTAGTGTTTGCTTACCTGAGCAAAGATCTTGTTAAGCCTCATCTGCTCAGCCAAAACACTGACGTTGTGAAAGAGGTGAGGCTGCATGTGGCTCCACATGTGAGGAAACCACCAGAAGTCCATCCTGTGTTGTAGCAGCATGTCATCTCCGCGATCTTCCTCATCAGTACCTGAAAAACGAACACACAAACACTCAGGTATAACCACATTCACAGGCATGTGCCAAGTTTGAGGAGCTTTCAGGTCCTTTAAGCATTTTTTGATTGGCAGGATAAAATAAATTCCACATATGAAAAATAGGTTCTGAGCAGCATCAGGTACAACGCTGAAGTCAAATATAAAATGAAATGCTTTAGCATATTTTAGACTCAGCAATCTCTGGCCGCATCTTGATAATCCAACGATTTCAAAGAATCCACACTCTGGAGGATACAGACTTTGAATGCAGACCATTATGATTTAAGTGAAACTTTATTGGGCCAGTTTATACTTTGGCTTGTTAGGAGAAAACAGTTGAATATGGTTAGTTAATATGAAATACCAGTGAGGCTACTCCCTGCAGAATAAAGCCCTATTTTACACTCAATGCAAAGTGATAAACCGTACACTGCAAGTGACATTGCTGACTGACAAAAACCTGCTCTTTATTCAATGGAGCAGTCATTTTCTGATATTTAGGGTTCTCAATGCTGTTTCTCTGCTTTATATAGCAGCTTTCCTAATCCACTCCTCAGTTAAATATTAGTGAACTATCTGATAAACAAGTGAAATTGTTAACAGGGTGGACATGGAGATTGCAAGCTTTGGTTTTCTCCTCACATCATCGTAGCTCTTTCGATATTGGGCAGCTGTTCTGGTGATGCCAGGGGATGAGGACATACTAACTTCTAAGTCCTCACATGTCTGAACCCCTTGAGAGGGAAATTCCTAATTGAGGTCTGCACAGGACGAATACTCATACCTGAGTACCAAGCTCCTCCTCATATGCTCACTCTATTATGTGCAGTCTCTCTACTTAGGAAAGGCCCTTGTGATAGATTTGGAAGAGATATTACTGCAGGGAGATTTACATCCATTTTTTGCATTATTATATCTCTTCCATTGGCCTGGGTGTTTTGTGCTTGTAAAAAGACAATTGGAAGGAGAGAATTTCAATAAGCCCGTGTTTAAATACTACTGCGCTAGGGTGCGGACATTTTTAAGTGTTTAAACAGGCCTTATAGTTTCAGGATTCTGAACTGTCTTGTAAGGCCTTCAAGGGGCAGCTGTGGCCCTGTGGTCGAGTCTGCCGTCTCTGTACCAAAAGGTCAGGGGTCTGATCCCAGCTCTTGCAGTCACATGGCAAAGGGTCCTTGGTCCAGTGTGAAGACTAGAAAAATGTCCATCTACCATTTGAGGCCTGTCAGCAAGTGAAATTTCTAGGAAGATGCCCCTGGCATATTAATCATTGCAAATTGAAAGTTATCATAACATACTGTATATTTCAAAATGTATTATTTGGTGTATTTAATAAAAGTTTTAGGTACGTTTTCATAATTCTACCTTTTCTTGTGGGGAAAAAAACCAAACTGTAACCAATCTAAATGAATTCTTTTTTAAAGTGGTGGTTGGTGGACACCTGTGATTGAACATATGGCACAGACAGCTTTCATTCATGACACTAGAAGTCATACAGTAATGTCAGTTGTGTCCTACCTGTGTGATAGAACTTTCCAGAAAATCCTAAATTGAAGGTGAAATTAGGAACCAACGCCCGCAGCTTTGTTTGAGTATTGAGCAATGCCTGTGGAAGGATGAGAAAGACACCGCTGTCACCCTTTATCAATGATTCGAGTGTTGCCTCACACATCTCAGTGCTAGATGAAAAGAAACCTAAACACTAGACATGTACAGAAATATCTTCATACTGGTATCTGTTGGTTTGTGACATGTTTTAATTTGGTCAATCTTTCTAATGAGTCCATTAGATCAGTGTTAGTATAAACTACATAAAAAGGACCATTTATTACATACTTCTTCATGAGAGGGCCATGACAGCATGAACCAATCATGAACTATTCTATGCAAGAAAAATACTTTCTTGTAATCCATTCTGAAGATTGTATTCCAACCAATGTTAAATGAGGACAATTTCATGAGGCCTATATGAAGGCCTATCACAGATATATAGTAGAACAAGTTTTTCAAACATGCTCTGCTCAGATATCTTCAAATTATTTCCTTTGCATAGTAATATGGAAAATAAAAAAGTCTCTTAACAAGCTACATGGATAAGGCTGTCTTTTATTCCATCTATAAATTCAAGTTATCAAGTGCCATATTGTTTACATCTCTAAAACGATTATCCGTCTTTCAAATTCTGTATCCATTAGGCTTAAAGCCCAATCAACCTCTACACGTTGTGACAGGCAACTAAAGTAATAAACATCTGATAATGTGCGCTATCACCCACCTCCACATCCGACACCTTCATACGGGTTCCCTCCTTGCCAACAAAGATATCATCCACGTCCACCAGGATGTGGCGGTCCAAGGACAAACACAGTCTCTTCCCTGTCAGGTAGGCAATAGCATCAACAAACACCAGCTTGTGAAGCCAATAGTTAAGATTGTTTCCAAAGAGAACTCTTTGAATGCCATCATGAAGGCCCAAGTCCTGGACCACTGTGGCATGCAGGGCCCTCATGGAGGCAGGTCCAAATTGGGCCAGCGCCTCAGAGGACTTGGTGCTGGCCAAAAGCACTGGTTCATAGGTAGAGTGGTTGGACTGGAAAACCGTCCAGTCATCCCCTGGTAAAGGGCCCTGCTCCACCTGGTTGGGCTTTGTGATGTAGAGTAAGGGAGCATTTGGGTTAATATGGTAGTCCCTGAGTCCCAGGTGTGAGTGTAAAAACAGGGGGAAACCTTTCAGCTGTGCGCTGAGAAGAGAGTTTTCGTTAGCTTTGAAGAAGCCAATGACACCTACTCCATACTCAGCACAGTACTTGTCCAGCAAGTCACGGTTCCAGGCATCCAGATTGACATATTTCAACACATTTTCATAAATGATCAGAGTGTAGCGCCCACGGTTATGCTCTGTCAATGTGGGCATGTCACCTTTACCCGGAGCAATCTCTGTCCGGTAGCGGAAGCGGCTAGATTCTAATATGGCTACAATCTCCTGGCCCAGCTGGGAGTAGATACTCTCTACGAACACCAGAACTACAGGCTGCGTCCTGGAACTGTCCATCGCCTTCACCTGTCGTAGCCGACCTTGGCGCGGGGGAAGGAAAAGTGGAGCCCTCTGGACGCCCAGTCCTCCTCCATCAGCCCCTGTACTTGAGGCCAGTGACATCCCCCCTCCTCCTCCACCACCACAGTCACTGAATGGTAAAGGGGGGGCCTCTTTGATTTTGGGGCTGTTGGAGACATAGTAAGCTAGGAAGGCCATAGACAGCAAGCAGAAGATGATAAGGGCCAGGATGAGGCGGTGAAGCTCCAGCTGGCGGACACCTCTCATTAGCTTCCACACACCCAAGCCTGCACCTACCATGGTGTTGAAGGGGGGAGGCGGGACTGGGCAGCAAGCAGCAGCGGTGAACAGGAAAGGAAGGCAGAGAGGTGGAGTAGGGATGAGAGGAGGAGGGAATGGAGGCGGAAGATTGAGCAGTAGATACTGGCACTGAGCTTTGCTGAGGAATAGCCATTTACACTAGGTCACCATGGCCAGCATTATCCATTACCTGCCCTGCAGCTTTAAGAACACACTCAGATGATTGGATGGAGAAAGACGGACAGAGAGGGGGATAGATAAGTGATGGACGAAATGTTAAATATCAAGAGACTGAAGAGAGAGGAATGGAAGTTCACTCAATTTAAATCCAAAACCAACAGAGCTGATCTCTGTGTGGGGACGAGCTGGGTCCTGAAAATAATGTCCAAAGTTCAGCCTGAGCTGCTTGGTAGATTTCCTCCTTCAAGCAGCTCTTTAGGTGTCACTACCCATGGATATGTGCATTTTCTGATGGTTGTCCGGTCTCTTAACAGTGGGAGATTCTCTTCTGGTGGCCTCTGCTTCGGGGCTGAACCCCCTCAGGCCACCTTGACTTGACATCCCAGGAAATGACACCTTGAGGCAACAGGAAGACAAAGAAATGGGAAAGAAGAGGGTTAGAAGAAAAAGAAGAAAGGAGAGAATGTGGGAGGACAAGAAGAAATCTATTGATTTAAAAAAATTCTGTCAACAACTGTCCTGTACAATTCTAACATGCATGTAGTCCAAGAAGCTCAAGCCTGAATTTTAAGAAGGTAATCAGTTTAAGGAATAACATCGCAATTACCCAAACAAAGACCACTCTTGCCAAAATGAAGACAGTAAATAACATGAAGAAACAACGTTTGTAGACAGCTTCAGTTCAAAACAAAAAGTCACGAGACAAAACCATTTCAATTTTGCAGAAAAAGATATTGCTATTATAAACATCCTGGTGAGATACTGAATGCATCTCCTGCAACTCAGCTTGCCCAGCCCTAGAGCATACTGCAAGTTTCAGAGCCAATCAATGTGAATCAAAGTAAGACATGCTAGGTACAATGTCAGCAGTCAGTCCCTCATTTAGACATCAAAACCCATTGATATGAGTCAGGAGAGGAAAACACTTTCTGAGAAGGATCGCAGCACTTGTGAGTAAAGCAGAATCTGAAAAGAAATGATGTTGTAGATTGAGAGATTCTTACCTTGTAAACGGTGCATATCTGGAACTTTCTGGAATAAATCTGGAAGACCCCTGCAGGAGAGACAGAAGGGAGGGAGAGGGAAATAAAAAGAGAAGATGAAGGTCAACTGTATTTCTGTATGACAACAAATACAAATCACCTTTTTTTTGGGAATACCAAATCCAAATCACTCCAAACTATCGGTGATAAAAGCAGACTTTCAACCCAAAAGACAAGAAATGCCTTGTCCCTTGTCGGCTTTTCAAACAGGACTTTTAGGTGGGAAGTGTTTCTTTGGGCAGCTAGGGTTAATAAGTCAAATTAAGTCCTTCAGTAATAGATTTTTTTATAGGTAATGTATACACTTTATAATGTAATTTAATTATGAAGGAGACCCCTTGTTTTTACGTGTTTCAATGCTTGGAAACTATACGGGGATTGAAAGAAATCTTTGGAACTTAAAACCTCAGAATTTAGAGTGAAAAGGTCCTGATCACAGAGAAAATGAAATACTCAAAAGTAAATCCTGCTTGATAATTTAAAGCTACACAATAAAAATGCACCCTACCGAATACAACTAAGGTTACTGTAGAATGTTTCTTGACAGTGTGTATTTAAAGTGGTTACAGAAGTGTCATATAATCAAAACGGATGGAGAAAGTATTCATCCCTCATACATCCTATCCCTTACCTTGGTGTAGTAAAGTAACTCTGCATGTGGGTGTAGACCGATATTAAGCTGTCCAATCATTTCAATGGAAGAGTCTTACTCCCCTGATAGGTTAAGTAAAGACTGAGAAAATGGATGAATGGCAATGTGCCTTTCTCTGAATAGGTGGTTTGTGACAACATTGCAGTCTGGATGGTACAGGGGTGTTAGTTAGAGGTGATTATATGCAATCTGTCAGCATCTGGTTCTTCACAATTGAGTGTAGGGGCGTGACTGTATTCATCTGTCAGCACAGGAACACACCTTTTGTAACATGAAAGTGCACAGCTCTGACATTGACTCCTCATTTGTTCTCAATTTAGTTTCAACGGTACATGGCTTCTTGGTTCTCTTGTAATTTCACGATGTTCACTCTGTATTCATTGACTTGTTGTTCTTTATCTAAATGGGGCGGCTGTAGCTCAGTGGGTAGAGTCGTCGCCTCTCAACCGGAAGGTCGAGGGTGCGATCCCCAGCTGAGCAACGTGTCCTTGGGCAAGACACTTGTGTCGTAGTGTTGTACATCGCTTTGGATAAAAGCGTCTGCTAAATGAATTGTAACATTGTAAACGGGCATGTGTTTAACCTGAAATCTGTCATCAATTTTCTTTTTGATAAAACCCCAAAGAAGCACTGATCAATAAAATATGTATTCAAACTTCAAAGTAGACCATGCTTTAGTTGCTTTTAATACTCTGTGAGATGATTCTCTTGAACAGCATCTAAACACCACTGAGAGTACCACAAAGTACATCTTAATACATACTTAGCACACTCCCATCTAAGTCTTGTGAGTGCGGCATAATGAAATTCCAGAGAGCACAGGCAGATGGGTTGGAGGTGAGGAAGACGAGGGGAGGAAGAGATAAAGCATGGGAGTCCAGGAGGCTAGAGGAGCAGTGTGTTGAAAGTGTGCTCATAATGAACTTCTGCTGTTTAATGGATGACTGAGTAGAGCTGAGCACTCCTCAGGGAGTCACAGAGAACAGCTAGCAGCAGCAGCAACACAAGGGAGCCAGCACGGAACCAGGAGAAGAGAGGAGGCTGTATAAATCTAGTATTCCACTACAACCAGACCACCAGTTCTGTGGCTACCAACATGTTTTATTGTCAAACAGAGTTGAGAAAATTAGGACAATGCAGTCGTATTGCTTTTTTAATTCATAAAAAACAAAACACTTCGAAAACAAAAGCATTTATATAGCGCTAGCAGCTGGTGGCCTTCATCATTCATTCATTTGTTTATCATTAAAAGGTTTAACTTCAGATGAGTGTATGTTATGTTGCTTTTAAAAGGCTTTATATGTGATTTTTCACACTTAAATGTAATAGAAATCAAGTATATCCTCTGAAAATAACTCTGTGAGTCATGACTGTCTACAATGGGTGTAACACCCGAGTCCCACTGTCTGTGATGTTTTCTGAGTTTTCCGAGTCATATCTTCAGTTTGTTTACATCGCCGGGATGGCCGGCTGACTCCTCCCCTTGTATATAAAGGTTGTTCAATTGAGGGATTAGAGAAAAGAAGAATAACATACTGTACTCACTGCTTAATTGAATTTCACACAAGCGTTTCTAGATCACGCTCATTTCGGGTAAATTTACATGCAGTGTGAAGATACGAGCATAATAAAGATAACTAGCATTAGCATGCTAACACAACAATGCAATGCTGGGCGACATCTGCTGGATCAAAAAATTGCATACAAAGCCTTTAAACACCACTGTAACACTGTCAGGGCACATTGTAAACCATATCACACACATGCAGATGCATGTAGTGGTTTGAACTTGTGAGTTACAGTTTGGCTACAGTGCTTCATCCACCTTTCCCACGTCTGGAGAAAAAGTAAGTGAAGGGAAGTGGAAGTGAAAAAGGGAAGCATGTGGAGTTTTAGAGGCACGTCATGAATTTTACAGCTAAACTCGTTAAAATAGCAGTGCTGATGCTTTCAGTTTATTTTTAGTGTATTTAATATGTATTATGTATATTTACAGGAAGTTAAGTATTTTAACTAGATGGTGTAATATTCTTTCTGCTTGAAGAGTTACAACTGAAATGTGTATGTAGAACTGAGAAGACTCAGTAAACTTCAAATGGAAAGTTGATAGATTGAATAAGTGTCTGAACCAAGCCCCCTGAACACATTTGCAAGTTGTGTTGAAGAGTGAATTTCTTTATATTTATTTCATTGCCTAAGTTAACGACAGGCCAAAAAAAAGCACTTTGCTGATTTCAGGTCTGTGTACTCTCAAAGTTAGTGTCTATATATAGTCTGACTGGCTGTGTCCTCGTCATTTCTGGAGTGACATATCTCTGCTTAATCTCTCATGTATATCATATCAGTGATTAAAATCACAACAGTAGAGGGCTTAGTGAATGTGAGCCACCAGCAAAGAAAGTCAATCAGCCAAACCCCAACTTCATCAACATTAGAGTCAATGTAGGATTCCAACTGGACCCTGTATTCTCTCTATCAAGAATTGTAAATGGACTTGAGCTTGTGTAGCGCTTTTCTAGTCTTCTGACTACTCAAAGTGCTTTTACACGCCTTGTCACACCTACCCATTCACACACTGATGGCAGAGGTTGCTATGTAGTGAGTCCATCAGAAGTAACTAATCCCATTCATACGCTGCTGACAAAGTGAGGTACATCACACTGTGTAAAAAAACATAAGATGTCAATGCTTGCTCTATTCAATATCAATTTACAAGCTTTATTGGCATGAAGGTAACCGACAATATTGCCAAAGCATCAAATAACAATACAAACAAGTTCAATAACAATAGCAATAATTCAATATATAATTAGAACTGAACATGAAAGAAATCAATTCAAAATGTTTCTCTATTGAGTTCCTGCATCTCTCTCTCCAGTTTAAAGTCTCTGTTTGAGCAGAGAAAGTCAATTATGTAGTCCATCTGCTTGCATGGAAACTCATCCTCCCAGCTGTCTCCTCCAGCTCAACACTGATTACCCCCCCATCGAAATACTGCATGCTGCTCATTATCAAACAACTTCACTTCAGCCTGTGTGTCAGTGACAGCTACACACGGCTGATAAAACACTCACCCTTCCCTTATTAGTCAGGATGTGCTGATCCAGTTTTATATACCTTATTCTGTAAGTCATTAAACAATGTATGTCTGCTGGCACCTAGTCCCCTCACACAATCTAATATATGCTTGCCAATTGAATAGTTCTACATTACATTAAGATTTCTTTATTCATTTATTATTAAATGAAGATTTGACTAACAAACTCTTCCTGGCCTGTAACGTCGGGCCTTTTCAAAGTCATCTGCAGTGTGTTTCTCTGATGTAGCCGTACTCTGAGTTAGCTGAATGAACTGCCTCTGAAGGGTTCTTCTTCGCCAACTGTACACCTTACATAAATGATTTACTCTTATAGGTATGTGGGAGTGGTTGTTGACAGTTCTCCATCCAGGTTTATTTTTTCAGTGGAACACCATGGAAACACCACACACTCGCTCACTGAGTTTAAATGAAAGATGCACATATTGAGATCAGTAACTTCTATGTTTTCTATTGTTGAGAGTTGACAATGATAGCACTTAATCACATACATAGCCAAGTAGTGAGTAGACGCTAAATTACATGGACTAAATAAAGCGGGAGAATTTAAGTTTGACTGCAGTATTCTGATTCAAAATCGTAATCCCACAAAAATGCCTAGTTGGGAGTCTACCCCCCAAATTCCACATATTCCGTGTGTTCCGCCCGCGGTTCGCCGGTGCCACGATTTTGCTTCGTTGGACAGCGTGCGCCCGGCCCTAGTGGATCTGTTTCTGGAACGTGAGCGCAGAGGAGTGCAGCTGTACACACATCACAGGAGAAACTACAAGATCACACCAGAATAAAGAGAAAAACATACAAGCAACATGTAACTTTGTCTTTCTGAGGTAGCTTTGTTGTTTGTTTGGGGCTTGTGTTTTGACACAAAGTCGATACAGGGATGTAAAAGACAAATCGTGAGTCCACGATGTGCCCATTGTAATGTGAGAAAGGACAGTTGAGAAAATGTGTTGACACTGAAGTACACTATTGAAGTATACCGCTGAAGTACAACTCCTGGTTGAAACCAAAGGATCCACCTGAGAGAGGATCATATCGTATTATATCAAGATTATGTTTGTAAATTTGTAAAGTGCTTTGAGGTCTTTAACACACAATCCTCCACAATTGTCTTGTTGGTTGAATGAATCTTTACCAAATCTTGTTCAGCTTTTCTTAATCTCGTCATGTGCTACGTGAAATCAGACTCCTCTACTAGTAGGGTGATATAAGTCCATTGTCTAAAACAATGGGAAAGTGTGCAGGTGATATGTGAGTAGGTA